CGTACAAGTCAGCAGTCTCGGCTGTCGCATCTACGCTGTCAGAATAACACCGGAAAAATGAAGCGTCTTGAGGTCCGGCCGATGCTTTGGTGATTTTGACATTTTTCTTGGGTCCATGTTCATCCTCATCATTCCAAGATTCTATCTAAACATCGATAAAAATATACACACTGGATAATTTAACGAGAACCACATTTAGAAGTGGTCAGTATAACAAGAACATAATCATGGCTTAAGCCACAGTAGCACTCTGGGGACGATACTAGCATAGTCTTTAAATTTGAAAACTTTATGTTTAGACAGGATAGAATATGTTCCTAACTTTGGCTGTCATTTAGACTATGAGGAAAGAGAGTACTGATCGGGCAGCTTCTGCAGCATGCCCCCGACGTATTAGTGTTACCTGTTCTTTAGAGTAAATAAAGCAGACCGAGATAGGATCCTATGCATGGGCAACACATGGTCACTTTCTGTCTCTCTTTCTATCTCACTCTCTTATGGAGAGAAGGAGCTTTATCCCTAGCTTTAATCGCCCATTGCCATGGGCTGTGATTTCCATACCTCCCTTTAGCACAGTATAACATTATTGTCTGGAGAAAAGGAAATGTGCCAACAGTAACAATTACAAGAGACAAGAGTTGGCGTTGCGGCTACAACTTAGTAATTTTCAACAATAACAAGGAAAATATTAAAGGATACATAACAAAAACATGAAGAGTAAACATCAACACTAACGAAAGTACATATCTAACAATATGGTCCTTTAGAGAATGTTTGTGTATCGTAATGTTTCAGAGAAATCGATACACGTGCCCTATTAAAAGGTAGTTGAAAGCAAAATCAAATTCATGAAACTGGTTTAGTTTTTAAAAAAAGTGAAGGACCCTTTTCCACGCCTTTAGGCGTATAGGGCATATTGGGCTAGACCTACATTTTTATAGACCAATCGGCATCACGCCCGCCGCCTCTTCTTGCCGGGACTGCACCCGGTACCCACTCAAGGCTGGGTCGACCTAGCAGCCAAGGTCATTTTTTGGAAAAATGTTCGGCTCCGCCAGGGAGAGAACCCACGACCTTCTGATCTGCGGCGAGCGTCTAGCTGCACCGCCACGGCGACTCCCAACCTGGTTCTGTGCTTACCTGATATTCAACATCGTCTAGAGGCAGCTCGCTTTTCACCCACTTGACATCGGCGTTGACGTCACCCCTGACTGTACAGGTCAGCGTCAGTGGTTTCCCTTGGATGAAATATACAGGGGCCGTCTTTGGACTGATTGACATCGTTACATTGGCACCTGGAAATTGAGAGACGCTATTAATACTAGCCAGTACCGCCATTACTGCGTCTTCCGTGGATACGTAGATAAAAAGTTAGTTTCGTATCCTTTATAGGACATTGCAGAACCAACCTCAGCATTTTTTGGCTGTTGTGGTTTTTCTAGGCAAATTTACGTCCAGTAGTTTGTCATTACTTTCTGGATAGTTTGCTTCTCGATACCACTGTCGAAACTATCGCAAGGCCCGCAGCTGGGATCGAACCCCGCACCCCGGCATTACGAAGTGTGTTCACATCGCCTAAGCCACAGTCGCCGACCACGTGGATAAACTGTCGGGGTATGCTAGAGTGTGGGGTGATGAATGAGTAGAATTCTTGGCTACAAAGGAAATAGGGGTATACATTTCATAATGTATGAGGACTCTCATTCTGAAGACTCTGCATAAAGGAATACTGATGGAAGTTACACTGAATTATTCCCTGTCCAATCATGGGACGCAGCTGTTTGTTGTTTTAAAGCCTCGACATGTTATTTTAAAGCCTCACCCCTCTGTCGTCGGGCGCTCTAAATATAACCGGTTGTTTTTACAAAGTCTGGCCCAACTACATACTGGTTGACATTTTTTATTCATGCTTGTTCAGGCAAGTCTACGTGACAGGGTTGTATATTGTCTTCTTATAGCAATGCTTTCTGTGAGGAGCGGCAGGCAACATTGCGTTCTTACTCGTTGTGAAAAACAGGGTATATTTTGGCTGTCTCGGACTTGAAGCACGCAAGAATGTCCCTGAGCTGTCAGCGTTAACAAGCGACAAGCAGAAAAACGTTGCTTTCACAGGTCGTACGCTTCACTCGCTCGTGGGACATAGGCTGAGACTGTGTGGTTGGTGGGGGGGGGGGAGAGGGGGTTGAGGTTAAGACCAGTTCTAAATATTGCGTCGTTCACTGATGATAGCCCCGGGCACAATACCTCTGTCACGTAGCCTAACCTGAGCAGGCATGAATGAAAGGTCAACCAGTATGCAGTTGGGCCGGACTTTGCAAAAGGAAGCATATAACCTATGGGTTGAATAGGGTTTCTTGGATTTGACACCAGGTAATTCTCATCCGAATCGTGACACTTTATGTCACCAGGAGCTTATCGCTTGTTGTGCGGTCCTGGTGGGGTTGAACGTCAGTCAGTTAAGCTATAGGGATAGATAATAGATCTTTAAAAGACCCGCCACACCCCCAACTCTTCCTCTCCGTTTGAGACTGCAACATTTCTAAAGACGAATAAACAGAGGGACTTGGCAATTAGTCATACATGTTTCTCATGAACATGGTAACGGAGTTACAAGGTTGTCTGATCAATTAATTATCTTTCTAGAGGATAGCCTTCAACCGAGAAAACGTTAAAGTACATGAACATGGTAACGGAGTTACAAGGTTGTCTGATCAATTAATCATCTTTCTAGAGGATAGCCTTCAACCGAGAAAACGTTAAAGTACATGAACATGGTAACGGAGTTACAAGGTTGTCTGATCAATTAATTATCTTTCTAGAGGATAGCCTTCAACCGAGAAAACGTTAAAATACATGAACATGGTAACGGAGTTACAAGGTTGTCTGATCAATTAATTATCTTTCTAGAGGATAGCCTTCAACCAAGAAAACGTTAAAATACATGAACAAGGTAACGGAGTTAGAAGGTTGTCTGATCAATTAATTATCTTTCTAGAGGATAGCCTTCAACCGAGAAAACGTTAAAATACATGAACATGGTAACGGAGTTACAAGGTTGTCTGATCAATTAATTATCTTTCTAGAGGATAGCCTTCAACCGAGAAAACGTTAAAGTACATGAACATGGTAACGGAGTTACAAGGTTGTCTGATCAATTAATTATCTTTCTAGAGGATAGCCTTCAACCGAGAAAACGTTAAAGTACATGAACATGGTAACGGAGTTACAAGGTTGTCTGATCAATTAATTATCTTTCTAGAGGATAGCCTTCAACCGAGAAAACGTTAAAATACATGAACATGGTAACGGAGTTACAAGGTTGTCTGATCAATTAATTATCTTTCTAGAGGATAGCCTTCAACCGAGAAAACGTTAAAGTACATGAACATGGTAACGGAGTTACAAGGTTGTCTGATCAATTAATTATCTTTCTAAAGGATAGCCTTCAACCGAGAAAACGTTAAAATACATTAACATGATAACGGAGTTACAAGGTTGTCTGATCATTAATTATCTTTCTAGAGGATAGCCTTCAACCCAGAAAACGTTAAAATACAGACGTGTCTAAGATAGTGGTTCTCAGCCTTCCCATTGAACACATCACCCATCAAGTGTCGACTGGTTTACAAGTTTATAAAAATATTAGACCAACATTGATTTCCTGAGTTCTATTGGAGGGGTGGTGGGAGTCTTTAAGATTTCATTTGTTTTGATTCATCTTCCTGATACTCCTAGAATATGACAAACATGGAATGCGTCACACACACACACACACACACACGCGCGCGCGCGCGCACGTACGCACACACACACACACACACATTTCCTCAACGTGCAGTCCGGCAGACTAGGACCACAAATTGAAGGTTTTGTCAGCTACAATTGCAGGCCTTTTCTGGCTATTTATTTAATCACAACATTTATCGATCTTTCCAGCGTACAAAACTCTTTCCCCCACAGGTCAGGAGGCAGTAAATTCTTTCCCCACTCTGATTTTCATGGGCTTCTGATTTTTAGAAGGCGGTCACGCCATTTACTGTATACAAGGTCGTGCTGATAACGCGAATGTCGTGGGTTCGTTCCCCACACTGGCCACCATGCTTCTGCCGGACGGTGGCCGTTGCAGTTTTGCTCTATTTGTAGATTGGATATAGTTTCGTCGCCCAGCTTCTGAGTTGAATGCATGGCGTGACATTGTGAGCTTCAGATTTCATTTGGAATGTTTTTTTCGACTGTGACCAATGGGGTGGTGTGAATTGTAGATTCAGAAAATGCCGCGATGCCTGTCGTCGCAATGTTGGTGGTGCCCCTATGTGGTTAAAATTGATCGCGTGTGTAACTGCTGATCACATCTGTTGGTGACTTCTGCTACCATCAATGATGAAATGCATTTCTAATGTCGGACTGTTTGTGTTAGCACTTCAGATAGCTACCGTATGCTTTAATGCGTGTGTATGCTAGATATGCTGAGACAGCAGTCTGTCAATCTTTCCACAAGGGACTGTGATAAACATTCTGTGTGTTTTTCGTTGGCACAGGGAGCGGAGCAACGATGGGGTGACCCGTTTGCTATGAAGTTGAAACTAAGACTACCAGACTACCAGACAAGGTCCGACAATTAAGTAATGAGACTGATTTTATTATGGCCAAAACAAAAATGCCATCTATGAGGCAAACCATGGAATCTAAAGACGCAACATAGATGCCGCTTACAGAAGTCTGTGTGTCGCATGTGACATCCAAAAAAAATTGATAATTTTTCCTGGCTTTTTTACTTCGAATACTCTGAGGGTGAATAAAAACGTGTCCATTCTGGCGTTTCCTTGAAGCGACGGACAAGAAATGATGGAAGAAGAATTTGTCTGTTATATTCACAATTTTGTCCTGCCCAGTCAGAGTTACCAGTATTCATTATGTCAACATTAATAATAATAAACTGACTTCAAAACTAAAAACTGAATGGATTAAACAAATTTCCGAATATTACATTACATCTACTCATACATTACACTCTTCTGTCGTATACAAGAAACATACTAATCACACTGTAATTGTTTCCTGTAACATAGTTCTCCACCAATCATGTGTTACTCTTATTTTCTGTGTGCCACGTAGCTTGTTTTCTTTAAATCATTATATTATTGTTGCCATCTCTAGCCTTCCCCCCCCCCCCCCCACTCCCTTTTTCTGTTCCATTCTGTCTTCTTCCTGAACTGTGTTTCCATGCCACCTTTTTTCTCCTCTTGTTCCTCATTTCCTTGCCCTACGCCTCTCTCTCTCTCTCTCTCTCTCTCTTCTCTCTCTCTCTCTCTCTCTCTCTCTCTCTCTCTCTCTCTCTCTCTCTCTCTCTCTCTCTCTCTATCCCTCCCCTTCGCGGTATCATTTCTCTGTGTCTGAATGTATCTAAATTGCAGTCTAATCTTTTTTCAATCTATTACGAGCATTAACAAAAAACGCACGGGAATATATCATGTTTAAGGAAGGGGAAAAGAAAATAAATTCATAATCTTTGTAATGGTTTGAAAAGGGGAGGTAAATAAACGATTATAATGTTTTCCCCCATTCAAAAGAATGTGTAATCTGATTCTCTTCCCTTCGTGCTTTCATCGATGGAGTAACTCTATATCTATTTTATAATTTACGACAAGACCTGGTGTTTTTCTCTGCTAATGATTTGTTTACTGATACGAATATTTTTAAGCTACAAGATGTTAATTGATGAACGAATATCTTCTCTGCTGTAATCAGGATACCCTTAAATGAGTTCTGTCTCTTCAGTTTCAGGGCCCCATTTACTAAGAGGAAAAAGGAGGGGGGGACAGGATAAGATCCACTGCCTTGGTATCATGCATGTCGTAAAGGGCAACTACTTAAGGATTTTTCCTTCAAAATTGGAACAGCGAAAGACCAATAGTCTGCATACAAAATAGCTGATATGTCAAATGGATGTTCATACTAAACTTAAGTTCTGTAACTAAGACTAAAGTCCAAAAACGGACGAACAAAAAGATGGTCTCGCCAGAGTTAATAGTCGATGAACGCTAACAATAAGAAGAAGTGTTCATTTCATCAAGTGGTGACTTTTAACAGTGTGTGTCAGTTTTGTTGTTGAAACTTTTCCTCATTGTGACAGTGAATTATTTTATGGCTGCCTTCCTCTGTCTCTCTGTTAATAATTCGTTCTAGCTGTCACTATATTTTCCGATGTTTACCTTTTCCTAAAGTTTAAGGTATGATCATCACCTCTTGCTGGTTTTTATAGGTTTTCTCTTCCTAATGGCTTATTGTTTGCATG